CAAGGTGCAGAGCGAAGACAAGGAGGCCGATCTTCTGCCGCACGATGTTCCCGATGCCAAGTAAGCCACAGCAGATTTGACTTTTTGTTCCGTTTTGTTTTGTGTACTTTTTGTGTGTGTGTGTGTGTTTGTTTTGTTTGTTTGTATGATTGTGGGTCTGTCCGTTTGGTTCTGGATGTGTATGTTTGTTTATAGGATGAGTAAGTGCATCATAGAACCTCGTCGACGATGAACATGGAACGACAAGGATGTTGATACAGAAAACGATGTTCCCTCCGCTCTTTCCTGCACATTATGTCAAGTGAAGTAGAGAGGAAAATAGGAATATCGGCCAGTTAGTTTGGCTTATTCCAGTCGACTCCTACGTCGGCCGAAAACGGAAGAATAGAGAAAAAAGAAAGAAAAAGATGTAGAAGAAGAACAACAACAATGAAATGTCCAGAAAGGAATGTTAGATCTACTACTATTCATCTTCGTCTCACAAACCGAATGTGGAGAGGGTTGGAGATAAAGCAACGATAAGGTTGTGAAGATAATGAAAAGCTGTCTGCAACATGCAACAATACGAGCGTCTTCAGCGTACCTCCGATTTGCAACACGTTCGTAGCAACAAGGAGGAGGAGGAAAGGGAGTGAGAGGGAAGGCAATGAAGGCGCCAGCTGCCAGAAGGAGTTTGTGAAGACGGCGAGTTTGCGATTGAGCTTAGGCGGACAGACACAGAGCCTTTCTTGGGCGACGGCGCCCCAAAGGAAGCTCTCGATGGAAACGCAAGTGAATCTGCTGTACGTAGGTTTTATAATGTGTTTATGTTAAGTGTCCGCAAACGGGCGAAAGTGTGTAAACATGCACACGTACAAGCACACGCACACGTACACGCACCCGTACATCCACTCGTACACGCACACGTTTACGCACCCGTACATCCACTCATACACGCACACGCATACTCACAGTAACGCGTATACGCATCCACGCAAGTACACACACACACAGATATAAACATGCACACGTATACATATATGTATATTTTACATACATATGTATACACATACACATGCACACGTATACATACTTACGCACGTATGAATGAAGTTATTTCTTAGATGAAGAAAAAGTCGCACGGGCGAATTTCAGAATTGCAAAACAATGCAGCGGATGATTCAATTAATCATATTAATATTATGTTGGAATTGCACTTATCTCAGTTAGTGAATGCACGGAATGTTGCATGGAAAATTACTGCAATTTCTCCTGCAGCGACATTGCAGATCGAAGAGGATAGGGCAACCCCGAAGTAAGTGGGAACAGGAATTCCTCGTCTTTGTTGTTGTGAGAGAGAAGGGGAGAGGGAGAGAGGGGGAGAGGGAGAGAGAGAGAGGGGGGGAGAGAGGGAGAGAGAGGGGGGGGAGAGAGGGAGAGAGAGAGGGGGGGAGAGAGGGAGAGAGAGAGGGGGGGAGAGAGGGAGAGAGAGAGGGGGGGAGAGAGGGAGAGAGAGTGGGGTGGAGAGAGGGAGAGAGAGAGAGAGGGGTGGAGAGAGAGAGAGAGGCGTGGAGAGGGAGAGAGAGAGAGAGAGAGAGAGAGAGAGAGAGTGTGTGTGTGTGTGTGTGTGTGTGTGTGTGTGTGTGTGTGTGTGTGTGTGTGTGTGTGTGTGTGTGTGTGTGTGTGTGTGTGTGTGTGTGTGTGTATGTGTATGCATGCATGTGTATCTGCATGTATACGTATATGTATGTGTATATGTTTATGCATATATACATATATTTTTCCCGTTCATTTAGTGCCCTTAACGAACACGCACGCAACCCGCGCCTGAGTGTCCCCGACGGCAGTATTGTTGCGATAAAACCTCGCTGGTTCTGCGCCATGTCTTTTTATGTAAGGGCGCAGGGTGGATGATAATCAGGTCACCCTTCGAAAAAATGTTTATGTATTACGATATCTTGATTCAGCCCGCATAATTTGAGGAATTTCCTTATCTTACCTTATCTGTGTGAGAGTATTGATTGTGCGAACCGCATTGCTCTCTGAACAGACGTTTTGCTGTCAGCCCGGGCTGGGACGTCGACAGCAACTCGGTCACCACTTTCCTTGAAATCGCAAGGATGCTAAGGAGAAGACATGGTGCAAGGAGGTTTTCCTAGGGCTGCGTAGAGGACCTTGATCCGAGTGAATAATGCTTGTTATCAGGCTGCGGTGATAAGCATGATAGTGTACGGGCTTCGGCCCCGACAGCAGTGAGATTAGGGCGAGGACTACACGCACACGGCTCCTGCCAGCCAGCCTGCCGTCCTGCCTGCTCACCTGCCGCCCTTGCCCTGCCTGCTTCTCCTGCCGCAGAGGGATGGGCTGAGATGCGTCCAGGGCGCGCCACGTCAGGAGCCCGGCGAACAATGGTGACTGCCTCTCGCGCTACTCTAAGAAATTACAGCCGGGGATGGTGACGGCGGCACCGCGGGTGGCGAAGGTGGTACCGTGAGGAGGGAGGGAGGGAGGGAGGGTGCCATGGGAGCTCCCTGCCAACCCCTCTTCTCGCCAGCTGCCTCCGTGTGCGAGTGTGTGCTAACGAGAATAGTTTTAATTGCACGCCGCCCGATGTGTTGCAGTGTTGATCACATAGGGGTGTAAAAGGACTATGGAAACTTCTGTGATATTAAATGATAAGAGAATAGAGGATACTTTTGGGATACGTGGTTGAAACGGAACGTTTGCTTTGAAAAAGAAAAAAAAAAACATTGACGAATCGTGCGGCGACAGACACTCCCAAACGGTTTTCGAGGAAGAGCCAGAGGAGCGAAACAAAGCGCCGGGCGTGCGATGGCCAGCAGCGAGCGAGGCAGAGAGCATGGCACAACGCAAAATTACCCGCGGGACGATCCGCTCCACCTACGAGAAGATCAGCAAGTCGCGGAGCCTGAACGATCTGTCGGAGCTCTTTCTGGAGAGGGCTAGGCCGCGGGACGGCGGCGCTGGCGACCCCCGTCCGCAGAAGGGCGAGCCGGCCAGCCCCGCCGCCTGGCCCGAGCAGGGCAAGGAGGGCCGGGAGCAGATGCCGCACAGAGAGAGAAAGGACAGTAAACGCAAGAAGAAGGACAGGGGAGAAGGCGTGGACGAAAGCAGGGCAGTGCTTGAGCAGGAGAGCGGAAGGGAGGCCAAGGGAGCGAGCAATAGGCCCGACGCCGCTGACGGCGCGGCCCGCAGCGAAGACCTCGACTCGCCCACGCAGGACGAGTAGGTGCACGAAGGGCTCGGCGAAGGGGCTCCAGGAGGAAGAGCTTTCATAAGGAAGGAGAGAGAGAGAGAGAGAGAGAGAGAGAGAGAGAGAGAGAGAGAGAGAGAGAGAGAGAGAGAGAGAGAGAGAGAGAGAGAGAGAGAGAGAGGGAGGGAGAGTGTGTGTGTGTGGGTGTGTGTTTGTGTGTGTGTGCTTGCGTGCGTGCTTGCGTGCGTGCGTGCGTTTGTTTTCTGTCTATCAGTCACTGTGTCTCTGTCTGTTTTTGTCAGTTTGCTTGCATGTGTGTAACTGCGTGTGTTTCGAAGTCATAGCGGAAAACACGTATGTCCGTATTTATTTTCATTATTCATCTGTCAGCCTCTGTGATTGTGAGCGAGCGAGAGGTCACGCTGATATTTTGCGAGCGAATGAAAGTTGATGAGCGAAAGCGATGTGACTTCGATACATATTTAGTACGAGGTTTCTGTACGTCTCTTTTTTCTGTGCGTGTGATTCCTCGGAGTGTATATTTTCTACTTCTAGCTTAATTAAAATTGCATTGCTATACTCAGTTTCCAAATGTGAAAGGACATGCTTAATATACATTTAGCTTGTACTGTAATATGTTATGCTTTGGAATACTTTGCAATTGACCTTTTTCGACAGCATTCTGGAGGTCAACTCTGCATCTATGGAATCTCTAGATGATGGAAATGAAGGTAAGACTTGATAATATTTATTTTTTTACGAACTTACATATATATCACCTTTGATATTGATGATTAATAACAATGTTCGCAACTTGTATCAGAACAGTGCGACATTATGAATTTAGTATCTTGGGATGTGTTTTTCTAACATAAAAATGTTGCTTTGATATATATATATATATATATATATATATATATATATATATATATATATATATATATGTATGTATGTATGTATGTATGTATATATGTATATATATGTATATGTATATATTTTTTAATCTGTGCTTAATTTGCCTAAAGGAAAAGCATCCTTACATTTTTAGCATCCGATCATTTTTTCTTAGAGCTAAACCGCGTCTAGAACCGAAATTTAACATTCACCTATTTCTGTCCTTTTTATAGAGCGATTCTAGCCAACAATTCTACACGTTGATAGGAGATTGAAGCGACTATTTTTTTTTTTAGCAACTTTTCTTTTTTTAATTTGTTTTTCTTTCCCCCAGAACCCAGTCTAGACGATATTGACGCCGATCCCGAGCTCCGGCTTTTGGACAAGGAGCCCGAGCTATGGGTTCACACGGTCGAGAAGGAGGTAAAGACCCCCCCCCCCCCCCCCTGCATTTCGATGAGTGTTGGTCGGGTGAAGGAGTTACTTGGAGTATATGGGGGATATGGGTGGTGGATTTATTTATTTTTTTTATTGTTTTATATATAGAAAGATAGATAGATTGATATTGATTTTTGAGCGAGACGTGTGCTGTTATTATTATGATTATAGTTATTATTATTATTGCTATTATTATTGTTCTCATTACTATTGCTACTACTATTATTATTGCTGTTATTATTATCACAATTTTGTTATTATCTTAATCTTGACCAACATCAGTCATCATCATCATCATTATTATTACTTTTTGATGTTATTATTTTTAGCATCTCTAATAGTATTATTATTGTCATTATTGTTGTAGCTGGTATTATCAACATTATTGTTATCATTATTATTACTATATACTTGTTTTTAAGTATAGGTATATAATGAACGAAAACAGCACGTAAGGGTATATCACTGAGCTTGCTTAAGGGAAACATTTAATGGAGATGGTGGTAGCACTGACTCCTTTATTACAGAGAATCGTCCCCGACTTTCGCAAAGCTAGTAACATGCAAATTAGACATGTATACATCTTGCGTATAGTGAAGGCTTATATTCTGATGTTTATTTCATAGATGTGTTTTGTAGAATTATTTTCAAAGGGTATCTGTGGAATAGTTGATACTGAAATTGATTTTTTTCAGGTGGTTGACAAGTTAACAGAGAAGCAGGTGAAAAAGCAGGAGCACATCTATGAGCTTATAATTACAGAGAAACACCACTGTCGTATGTTGAAAGTCATGCAGAAGGCAAGTACCTGATTCCTGTTTGAAGTTTTGTTTGTTTGTTTACCTTGTCTACTTTCCTTTTTGTTTTTTTGTTTGTTTTTTCCCTTCATCACGGATGCATTACCGGCCTCTCTCTCTTGAATGAGGCGGGTTTATTTCAAAGCAATATGGCCACTTAGAAGATAAATGATACATGGATATAAAATGACAAGAGCGATGACATGGATACGATGACACACGTGTAAGCAGCCCCTCCCCCCTTCGCCAGGTGTTCGCCGAGGGCATGGCTCGGGAGCTGAACATGCAGGACTCGAGGATTAAGCGGATCTTCCCTTGCCTGGACGAGCTCATCACAATCCACTGCTCGTTCCTGTGGCGGCTGCGCCAGAGACAGAGGAGCAACAAGTACATCGAGACCATCGGCGACCTCCTCGTCGACCAGTTCCTCGGGGACAACGCGCAGGGACTCAAGGACGCCTACGGACAGTTCTGCTCGCAGCACCAGGACGCGGTGAGGACCACTTAGACCTTGGGACGGGAAAGGGTGGCGCGCGCACGCGCGCACACGCACACGCACACGCACACGCACGCACACGCACGCACGCACGCACCACGCACGCACCACGCACGCACACACACGCACCACACACACACACACACACACACACACACACACACACACACACACACACACACACACACACACACACACACACACACACACACACACACACTCAAAAATCGATATTCTCCATATTACCACCATGAGTAATGCAATATCTTCGTTAACTACACACTGTACCCCCTCCCCCCGTCTCCCACAGGTATCGTACTACAAGGACATCCTGAAAACGGACCGCCGATTCCAGGCATTTATCAGACAGAAATCCAACCACCCGCTCATGAAGAAGAAGGGCATCCCCGAGTGCATCCTGTTCGTGACGCACCGAGTAACCAAATACCCGCTGATGCTGGAGGCGCTCATGAAGTACAGCAAGGACCAGGAGGAGGAACTCAGTACCTTGAAGAGAGCTCTGGACTTGGTGAAGGTAAGAGCCACTAGAGAAATATGTGTAATTGATTTTTCTTGTTTGGTTTCTTTTTCTTTAAATTAAAGTATATATTCTTATTACCTCTATATTCTCTTTCAGGACATCCTTGTAAATATTAATGCTCAAGTTGCTGAGAAGGAGAGAGAGCAAAGATTATTAGACATATATCACAAGATAGATGCCAAATCATCAGCACTTTACAAGGAACAGAAGTTTAAGAAGTCTGATTTCTTCTCAAGAAGTAGAAAACTCAAGTAAGTAGATGATTTGTGGTTCAAAATGTCAAAATGTTGAAAAATGTGTTAGCCCATATGAAATTTGATAACCGAGCCATTTATGGTTCAGGAATCTTGTGTAGGTACATACAAAAAGTTTTTTGAACAATCCAGTTTAACATATCTAGAAGAATCTTTTTAAAACTATTTATCATATTTAATATATCTTCTAAAAAGTGGTGGTTCTTGAATTCTGCCATAAGAGCAAGGAAGTTATATTGCCTTTAAAAATGATTTTACATGCAGAGATTTACATATCTAATTTTACAGATTCGAAGGTTCAGCGATCCTAAGTCAACAAAAGGGCAAACCCATTCTGGTGCAGGTTGTGGTGTTATCAGATTTAGTGTTCTTCCTTTTGGAAAATAACCAGAAGTACTACTTTTTCTCACCTGATTCAAAGGTCAGTAGGAGCTCTGCATTCTTGATTTATTGCTATTTATTCAGGTGTTGGCTCTGTGAATTAGGGATGGAGGAGAGATGTCAGGCAATAAATGATATTTTGGTTTGAAAAGTTTTTTTTTGCAATAGGCTTGATATGTATTTCATTTGATTGCTTATTTACTTTTACTTTAGAATTGACTGTTACTATGTTTTATGATGGAAAACGGTCTTTTTTGGTTTGTGGTGTTAATGTTAAATAAATGGCCGGTTATTAATTGAATGTTCCAAGTAACTATTATATTCACCTGCAATCAGGCGAACGTTCCAAATGACTTCTTAAGTGATTGTTTCAAGTGACTCGTATTCATCCATTATCAACTGATTGTTTCAGTTGGCGGTCACATCTATTAATTTCCCCAAATGACTGTCTACTAACCATACTATCCATTAATTAATTGTTCCAGGTAACTTATATTAATTTGTTATTAATAGATCGTTCTTAAATGACTGTCATATTAACCTTTTACTAATTGGTTATTTCAACAGCAGGCTGGTGTTATCCCATTAGACAAGCTCATAGTGAGAGAGAAGGCAGGGGAAGGATCGCGTGCTATCTACCTTATCTACTCGAAGAACACCGCAGAAATGTTCGAGTTTGAATGCCAACATCCAAAAGATAAGAAAATATGGTTGGAATCTATAAGGTACTCTTCCTGTTTGTTTGTTTTTTCTTCTTTTTATTTTATTTGCTTTCAAGTATTGCCATAGAGGCGTGTCCGATATTTGTTAGGATTCTCAAGAATATGAGCTTGAAAATACACCATTTCACTTCTGATTCTTATTTTATACATTTACCTGCTTATTTCTTTACTCTTTAATATGTTTATTTATTGCATCACAGAGAAGCCATTGATCAGTGTCCAGACGAGGAGGACATGGGCGATAACTCCAGCGAGAATTCCAAGTTGCAGGAAGCCAATTCCGAGAAGATCCGGGAAATACTAGGTAAGGATCCAGGTTATTAACCCACTTCGGTTCCACACACGGCCACGCATACACAGTATAAATGCTTCGTGGCACAACGCGGAATATGTTTGTGTATTTCATATTTTCACAAAGTATGTTGTAATATACACTATTTTATTTCTAATCTTGTATATTCAGTGTGTGTGTGTTTTCGTTTGTTTGTGCGTGCATGTTTGTGTGTGCGTGCGTGTGCGTGTGCGTGCGTGTGCGTGTGCGTGCGTGTGTGTGCGCGTGTGTGCGTGTGTGTGCGTGCGTGCGTGTGTGTGTGTGTGTGTGTGTGTGTGTGTGTGTGTGTGTGTGTGTGTGTGTGTGTGTGTGTGTGTGTGTGTGTGTGTGTGTGTGTGTGTGTGTGAGTGTGAGTGTGATTTGCCACTCATAGTTGTTTATGTGCTAAAACATTTACTTTCATTGTATATGCAGTACACATTTTAATGATGATACATGATACTTTCAGGTATTCTGCAGCACAAAGACAAGGATTTGGCAAGAATATGTGAAGACAAGATGAATTCAGTGACAGAATTGCTGGAGTTGTTAGGCAATGATGAATTCCCTCCCACTCCACAGTACCGAGCACTGCTGGATGAGCACCATTTAGATCACAATGCAGCTCGAGACTTGCAAATAAATTCACTCATGGTTAGTGGCCAAGAAACTGTAAACAACGAATGTGCCATTTCAATCTTGTTTAATGGTTAAGTAACTGATAAACAGGAATTCCACTCACTTTCCATTTGACAGCTATATAGATGCAAAAAGGGATTTTTAAAAATTTATTCTTATAGGTATATAGCATGTGTAGAAAGTTTCGTGACCTCTATTAATGGTTATGAATTACCAAAAAAAAAAAAAAAAAAAAAAAAAAATTAGTGTAATCTCATCTGAAGTCTCTGGGAAAGTTCTTGCTCATTGGAATCTCCCCATAATAGGAAGTCTTTAGTTTACCCGAGACACTCACACCTAACTGATTCATTCACAGGAAGCCCTAAGATTAGTGAGTGGGGCTTGTGGCTGGGGTTCTAACCTTGCTCGTTCAGTGAGCTCTGTGGGAGAACACCAGAGTGACGCCTATGTGTCGCCCAGCCTTCCCAAGAGAGCAGAAACATTTGGAGGATTTGATAACCCCAATAAAGATGCCTCCGGACATCCTCAGAAACGTAAGTCCTTTGTTGTGTTGGTTTTACTTTGTTTTTGTCCTTTTTTCATGTTTCTTAAATCTTGTTGTTTTATTTACTATTGTATTTATTTGAATATTTAAAGAATATGAAAATATTGTAAAAGAAAATGTTTTTAGTTTAGTGTTGTTATTATTATTATGATGGCTTTTTAAAGCTTTGGATTGTGATTAGTAATATAAATTTGTTTATTACTATCATTAGGTGTTGGATTTGGTTAAGTAAAATAAAACTTTATAAATGAATGACCTACCAGAAATTATACAATAATGTCTCAATACCCTTTTATTAAATTACTTTCATTGATCTATATTGTTTTTCATAAATTGATTTTTTTTTTTTTCTATAAATGTTTTGGAAGGAATATGATTTTAATTTTTTAGGTAATGAGTAAAAAGACTGCTTGTGTGCTCTTGAAAAGAATCTTTTATTTCTTTCCTTATTTTACTTTGATATGATCCATTAACCCATTGCCAAAGGGCATGGCATGTACTTACATGCCATACCCATTGTGAGTTTACTTGTTTAATTGTTTTTACACATAGATGGCTACACTTGTACTAAGTCACCAATGAGCCAATTACGAGTACTGTCTGTCTCGCCCTTGATTTACAAATATATTTTACGATATCATATTTTGCTGTTTATAATGTTTATAACATTATAATAATTTTAATGTTTATAGTAAAAATAATGCCATTGGTATTCATAGCACTAGTTTTTTCCACAAATTCAAGGAAAGGTGAAATCAGGTAAGGTCACAAAGTCTATTAATTAACTGCTTTGTGGCTAAGTACTAGCAGAGCCATCTATGTGCAGAGACATTTCACAAAAATATTTAAAAAATGGGCACAGCATTTTCCCCATTTTTTATTATTTTTTCCCCGGTGGCATTGGGTTAATGTACTGCTAGCAATACCTAAATCATTCATATCTGTAGAAAAGATACTTCAAAGTGTAAATGATGGAATTTATTAATATTTTTCCCTGCCTTTGTAAATCTCCAGAGTCTGGAGGGAAGAAGAAGAAGGACAGTCGCATGTCGCTGACCTCAACAGGCACAGGCGAAAGTGATATTATAGAGAGCCTTAAGAACCGTCGTCCATCTGGCAGCACACTTGCAGTTCGTTCCTCTCAAGACAACTTGAGCATTGTGTCCACGTTATCTGGAGACTCGTCCAGTCAACAGCAACATCAGGCTGTAGCAGCTAAGCTTATATATTGGCTACAGACTTCCTTGGTGCTTAGTCAACATCACTTAACCCAATTCGATATGTAGGTGTATACTGCTGTTGCATGTTTTCTGTTTTGACTGATTAAACTGATGTTGAATATATTATGCATATACTGTAATAAATTCTGTTCCTTGATTGATTTATTTACATTGCTGGGAAGTTCATTATCTTAATTACAAACAGTTTAATTGATTCTGTTGAAATTTTAGGCTAGACTTGATTGTATTACTGATAAATTTAGTTTTAATTGTAAACACGATAAATGATACTGCAATAACATTTTAGGTTTGATAGACTAATTATCATTACTAAATAAATATATTGTAATACTAAAAAAGAAAAAAATAACTTCTCGCTTCCCACCCTTGCAAAATTCATTCTTATTCTGAATATTTTTTTTAATGGGCACATCTGAAAGTTTGTGTGTAAGTATTCACAATATTTCAAATGTTTTCCCCAGGTTGAGGTCTAAGTTAGTCGTTGGTGGGGCCTCAGTTGATGGACGATTCCGACACTCTCAGAAGTTGGAAGAACTTCGGAATATACAAGAGCAGATTAGCCACGAAAGGGCCCAGTGGATGAAGGAAAGGGATGCCCAGGAAAAGTGGATTGCAGAAAAGAAAATTGAACTTCAGAAAAAGGAGGTTAGTTTATAGCCTTCAGGTTATGTTTCAGGTAGTAAAAGAAATGTTGAAAGATGCAAGACTTATCATGGTTAAATTTGTTTGTGTGTATGTGTTTGTTTCTCTCCTTTGTCCTAATGTTTAGCTGTTAATATGTGTGAATGCCTGTCATTGCCATATATTCTAAAACAAAGACAAGAGGATTTATCTTTTATTTGTGAAGACTGTGATGAAAGTGGAGACAAGATAAAGATTATTATACTCTATCAAAAAAGCAAAATAAAGTAGAAAAAGATTTATATTGCTATGAAAAGAGCCTAGGGGAAAAAAAAAAAAAAAAAAAAAAAAAAAAAAAAAAAAAATTGTCTTTGATATTGACCTCTACCCTTTCCCTCCAGGAACACCTTCGCAGCGAGCAGCAAGATGTCCAGCAGCAACGCGAATTGTTATATCGCAAACTAGAGGCTCTCAAGGCTCAGGGTATCATCCTAAGTCCTACTCTAACAGTTCTCACAACTACACCACCAACTCACACAGTACATGAGGAACACCTTGCAGGTATGTTTTTTTTTTTTTTTAATTTCAAGTCAGAATTTTTGCTTTTTTTTTCCTTTTTTTATCGAGTATAATATCCACCTGTTTGTTAGATGAATAGTGCTTGCTTGCTTGCTGTACCTATGGTATTCTTCTTCTAAACAATAGTTATCAGTCAATCACTTAATACACTTGGACTTTATATCTTACAGGAAATATAAGTGGTAGTGCAGGTGATGGCGGACAGATGACTCAGGGATCTCCACATAGTTCACCTACCAGTACAGCAGCCCCCACTCGCCCTCGTACCGATCACAAGCATCGCAACTCCACTGCTTCAATTGCCAACCTCATCAAGCGTGACTCCAACCAGTCCTTACCCACACACCTCATATCAGCAGCTAACCAGCAGAAGGCATCTATATCAGTCAAACAGCAGCTCCCAATGAAGCTTGCCAAACTGGGGAGCAGCAGCAGCACAGGCTCCTCATCAAGCAGCGGTGGTGGCGGTGCATCCTCGCCCAATCAGGACCGCATTGACCACCACCGTTCTCATATCAGCCCTGGGGCCAGTGGAGGAGTGCAGCAGATGCTACCCCTGAAACTGAGCCAGGGGCCGAATGAGGGCAAAGGTTCCCGCATAACTGTGGGGTACCAGCGCCTGGCCTCTCCTCCCCCATCCCTCGAGCCCTCGCCAGGTCCATCCCACCAACGCACAGGGTCGTCCCCTGCCACGCTACAGAATGGGTCTTCAGCTGTCAGTCCTGGGGCACCCGCTCCCACTGCCACCACCACCGCCCAGGGGGCTCGCGCCACCCGAACCAATACCTACCCAAAGTTGACCAGTAAACCTTCCGTGCCCACCACTCGTGCCAACACCACGCCAGAGGGATCACAGGAAGGTTCAGGTGTGGGATCCAGCACACGCCCTGGTCAGCGCATTAAAGATCCTGATACCAACCAGGACATCATATTCTTCTAAGAGCTTTTATCCAGCTAGCTTTTCTAGGTTTCATATAGTTCAGTGGTGTGACCATTAGGCTCTCGTTTTGGATGAGCAGGATTGTCATACTTCTGCGAGCCGCAATTAGCGTCTTTCCCTGTGATTAAGGCATTCCTTCCTTTATACACACCACCACTGGTACATGACCCTTAGTGTTATTACGATGTGTAAATTGTATGCTGTGGGTCTGGGACTTGTACATAGAACACTCATACACCCATGCACACTGTCTTCCGGCTACTGGTACACAGCACTGGTGGGAGCTCGCACTCTGTGTGATAGATGCACCCTCTATAACCCCTTGGCAGATGCTGCTTAGCATGTATTGATGTGCAAGGTCAGTGGATCAGTATTCATAATAAGCTATGATAGTAAATTTTTATATACGGTAGAGAGTGAAAGAATATGTGATGTAAAAAGTTTAATATGTTTTGACTTGAATGGCTATTTTTACATATGAATGTAAGTCGTGACTGGTTGCACATTCCTGTGGCCTTTACTGCCCTCTGCGTAGGGAAGGGAGCAGCCTCAAGGGGAGAGAGGCTGCTCGTCCTCCAAAATGCATTTTCGTGCGGGCTGTCTCGGGTGGTGTCAGTGCAGCAAAGCTGTACTTTTTCAGTCTTACCGATTTACCTAATTCTTTTATATATGTTTTATATCACTTATAGGTTTTAATTTTAGATAGTGTAATTTTAACAAATTCCAAGTAGCCAGGTTGGCAGTGTGTACATTCCAAAGAGTAATTATTTCCATGTTGTATTTGCTGTATGTTAGCCCAGATGGAATATAGGGTATCCTAATATCTACCACGTATCTAGAATTCATTGTTTTCTGAAAGCTCAATGTGTATCAGCCAAAACTTCCAGGCAAGGCTGGCAAAATAGGTCGAAAACTGTGTATAGCCAGTATAATGCTGTGTTAAAGACTTGGGTAATATGTATAGCCAGTGTTAAAACTGGGGGTAAATTTGTTGTGCTGAATGTTTAGGTCAATGTACATTGTAATTAAGGATGGCCAGCACAAACAACATTCCTTGGGGTCATTTTTTGTGCATTTCATAAGACCTAGACTTTGAACAATAAACTTGTACAGATGTGTCTGCAGTGAAGAGAGAGAAAAAAAAATCAATACATACTTACCTCTCTTCAAAATATGATCCCTGATGAAGGATATGCTGAGAGTTACCAGGCAGTCCATACTGTGAAATGATCAGCAAAAATGAGAATTGTCTGTTCTGTGCTTTTGTAAGAACAATCACAAGTCATATTTTGCTATTCACATCATGGAAAATCAGACTTGTAGATACATTAACAAGGCTTAATTTTGCTGATACTCACATCATAGTACCTCGAAAAACCTGATGGAAGATTGTAAAAATTATGGTTGCTGTTACCTTCCCTTTTGTTACTTTTATAAAAAGAGAGTTTTGCCACACCATCGTTAAGGCTGCTTTTTCCTTTTAATTGGATCAGCAAAGTCGGTGGATATGCATTGCATACGGCCCAGGTTTTAGTTCAGTGAAAAATGTGCCGCATTATGTGTGTATCTTCTGCTTTGTTTACAGATCATGTTTCATGTTTGGTCTTCCATACCATAATAGCTGAACCTGCTCTATGGCAGTCAGACAACTCATTCTTAGTGGGTAGGAAATCTAGATTTACTAAATACATCCTTTTTCTATATTGCTTTGGTTACTTCATTCGTTCAGCCATATCTAGCTTTTTAGCAACAATTCATTCCTTATTTTTATAATCTCTTGTCAGTTATATGGGGTTATGTAGGGGGTATTTCAGCTAGGTTAGATCCCTCACTGTAAGAGGTTCTTCTACCCTGTCTGAAGAAGAAAATAAGCATTCTCCTTATAGCTGAGAGATAATAGTGAAGGTAACATATTCCAGAGATATAATTAGTATTTCTTAACTTTACCATCTACCTAATAATCTATATGGCAACTCTCTCAACAATAAGTAAGGGTTCAGCTTCCCAGTTTTTATCAAAAAAAGAAACATTCCAATGTGTACTTAGGTTGTATTTAAAATGTCACACTAGAATTATGTGTTCTTTCCATTAGAATAGTGTCCTATGTTCTGGGGGATATTTAAATATTTTTCTGCAAGTTAAATGCTGTTGTTTCTTTATCAGATACCTATGCCTTTATGCACATCAAAGTTGCACTTGTCCTGTGGAGTCCTCTCTGGCAGTAGAAAATATATGCCCATAAATAGTCCTAAACAACTAGAACTGGTGCTTTAACAAGTAAACAGGAAATCAGTGCAACTTTCCATTCATAAAGGGAACATCTGGAACCAGTCACCCTGATTTGTACTCTAGTGTGTCATTTTTCACAGCATCACAGAAAATTCTTGTAAGGCATCATGAGCCTAGTCAGTCTGGCAGCATGTGATATTATAATACCAGTGGACAAGACTCAATAATGAGATCTAAAGAGGTTGATCTGATTTGAAGAAGCCTTTGCTTGAGAGCAAATGCAGTTTAATACATTATTTTGTGAATAGAGTCCAAGGAATAAACTGTTTATCACGTTAAAAGTTTTTTATTTAACCAAACTTGTAACACTCATTACCTCACTCACTCTCTCTCTGGTGGGCTGCTGCCACTGGAGGTCGCAACTGTGGATCATGTCTATTTCGCTGTCCTTTGCATTTGTCTCTTACACCTGCTGCCTGCCTTCCCTGGATTCTCCCTCTCCTGACATTTCTCTTGAAATTACTATTTAATCTAATGGCTCTTAACCCCCCTTTCCTACCTTATCCCATGGACATCCTTATAGAATCCCACAATTTTTCCTTTAACAAAGTTGATCTAATCACCCTTTTCCTAATTCCTACCTTACACCTAATTGCTCATCATCTCTATCCTCACCCTTCTTTAACTCTTTTAATACCATATCCTAAACTACTGTGCAAAATTTGATGTGTAGCATATTTAATCATCAACTAACTTTGCCTCTTAACCCTTTTCACTACTTTACCTTTCTATAATGCTATACGACCTTTGATTTCTAGAAAATTCATTTTGCTCTGTAACCACTAACCAACCAACCAACCTGCTGCCTGCATGTCTTCCTTCAATACATCATATAACCCTCCTCTTTGGTCTTCCTCTTTCCCTTCCACCTGGTGGCTTCATCCTCAGCATTCTTCTCCCAAACATATGCAGAATCATTCCTCTTTACATGCCTAAGCATTGCAATCTCGCCTCTTTCGCTTTGTCTCCACTGCATCTTACTTGTGCTGCTCCTCTTAACTTACTTGTTTTTATTTTTGTTAATCGTGGTCACTTTCAGTGAAAATGGCAACATCTTGAACTCTGCCTCTTGTCTCTTGTCTTCCCAGTGTCATCGCCTCCAAGCCATACTGCATTGCTGATGTAGCTACCGTCTTGTAATCGCACTTCGCAAATCCATCCAGCCACTTGTCTCCACTCACTCCACCCTGCCTGCCTTTTACTTCTCTAAAACACTCTCCATTACTTTGAAGTGTGGACTGCAGGTATCAACCTATTTGCAACTGCACCATTCCACCCCCTTTCACACACATACACTCTGTCCTGCTCCTACTGTCTTTCACTCTTCTCTCCAGTGCATACCTCTGCCTCTCCAGGCTCTCCACAATTTGCTCCTTACTCTTGCTGCAAATCACTATGTTATCTGCAAACATCATAATCCCTGGAGACTCCTACCTGATCTCAATATATCCATCACCACCCCAAACAAGAACGGACTCTCAGGTCATCCATGATACAATCCCACCTCCACTCTGAAACCGTCTGTCATACATACTGTGCACCTTATCTTGCACTACCTTCACTTACTTCCCTGTCACTCCTGACTTTCTCATACAATAGCACAACTCCTCTCTTGGTACCCTGTCATAAGTTTTCTCTAGATCTATGAACACACCTAGTCCTTCTCTACACTTCACCAATCTCAATGAAAACATCACATTTACACCACTCTTACCAGTTATGAAACCACACTGTTGTTCACCTCTCCTCTCAGTTTAACCTACAGTAATCTGTTCCAGGCTTTGATGAGGATGATCAACTTTATCTCTCTGTAGCTACAGTAATAATAACAACAATAACCATGATGTAATATAATTAAAATAAAGAATATAAAAATACTGTTAGTACTACTAATAATAATGATAATGGTAATGGTAATAATGAATATGGTAGTCATAAAATACTACATACAACAACTATTACTACTACTAATAGTAACAGTAATAATATGAAAATAATAGTTGCAAAATATTACTACATACAACTGCTACTACTAATAACGATGCTTATAATGATGAGTGATGACTAATGATGATGATGATGATGGCGTGGGTTAATCTATTAACAGGCACAAACTCCATTCTAATAGGCTCAGCCACAAAGGTCCTGTATGACCTAACCTGATTTCCCCATTACCTTTCGGGATTTTTTATGAATGCTATTTGATATTGACACAGTAATATTATTATAATTATTATTATGACTGATATAATGTTATTAAATACTAATACTAACAACGGAAACATGTCCAAGGAAAGTGGTAAACAGATGAGATTGGCAGGACAAGCAACTAATTCCCTGGTGACTAAGCACTTGTGGAGCCATCTATGTGTAAATAAAATCAGTATACTAAATCACGGCTAACTCAACATGTCTGGGTTGAATATTCATGAATTTTGTTAACACATCTCAAAACGATGGACCTGCTGTAACACCCACAAGCGGATCTGTATTATTGTAACGCAAATTTACGTTATCTCGACTAAACTTGGTAACAAAAACGGGTACAAGTCTTAAAGAGACAATGACCAATGCCGAACTTTGGTATTGAAATTCATTAAGGCCGTGACGACTAATTACATAGGATATTACGAGAAAATTAAACGAAGTGTAATACATTTGACGTTGTTTAATATATTCTAATGGTATATCCCCCCTTTTGTATTTATTTCGTACACGTAAAGCTGAACACCTAGATAAGAAAACGAGGCGTACTTTGAGATATTATTGCAAATGCATATCAAATCGTCACGGCAACATGTCTTTTGTCCACAACCCTTTCGTTAAAGTAAATGGACATCAACAAAAACTATCGGATTAATTATTAAAAATTGGAATAACTGTATTTAAAACATCGGTTCCTCTTCCCTCTTTCTTCAACCTCCTATTTTTGTCTATCAGTCCAGTCAGTCAGCCAATCTGTCTATGTCTGTCTATCTCTCTCTCAGTCTGTGTGAGCATGTTGCCATTATCGACGTCCACCGCCTGGTCTTTATCGCTTCGGCACTAAACCTCTTCCAAGGCCAGTCAACGCGCCAAAGACTGACACCCCAGCGCGGAAGACATTCCTAATTTGTATACAGCTTTCTGTTGGCAGAGGTATTCACTTTCCCCAAATGGCTTGTCAAGTTAATTTCCTGGATTCATGGTTCTGACTCGGGAAAATGAATCCGAAGTAAGGCAGTGACTAGGCCCAACAAAATACTAAGCCAAGGCGTTTTTCACTTACCCCTGAAGAATCCGTCACTGTCTTTCATCCTTTCCTCATTTTCTCCTTCCCACCACTGGCGTGGCCACGGGGGGGTATGGGGGGGCAATTGCCCCCCCACTTTTGCCAAAAGATGGTCCTCGAGATTCCTTTAAAATCGAAGAGAAAATGGCGGGGTATAGGTTGGGTAATAATTTTTCCGGCAGCAAAGTTTGTATATATACAATGACAAGCTAATGACAAGCATGATATTAGGAGATGCATTCTAAGCCAAAGTAAAGGGCGTGGCCCCAAAAATTTTCCTGGGGGCTTCACCCCCCGACCCCATCATTAGTTTGCCCCCCCACTTTATTTACCCTGGCCACGCCGCTGCTTCCCACCCCTTTTTCTTCTCTTCTTTACCTTCCCCTTTCTCTCTCTGTGTTTCCCTTCGCTTCCTTCTCCTAAATAGGCAACAAACCACATACAAAAGAATATTTAAATAACTAATTAGTAATACAAATAACTTCAAGCCCGTTACATATGTGAGAATGTCACGACTTTGTCAAGTGTTCATTTCATATGAAACACGATTCGAGACTGGTTATCTACGTAAAGATAAATGCAAATTTATAATATTGCGAAATACCAAATATCCTGTTTCTTATATGTACAATACAACATTACAGTAAAATATCAGTTTTTCTCTATATAAGTACCTACTAACAATTTTGGGTAGTCTAAATACTTAGCATATTCAGTACTCGACACTGGCATGAAGCCAGCAGCCTTTAGTTACTGTATAATGTATTTCCCTAACAATACTACGTTAACCACATTCTCAGTGTCATCACTGTACCTTCAACATACATGGTTGGGAGTCCCAGCGTGGTAAATGGTGTACACCCTTTGAAAACCAGTGTTATACCAGAGCAAGTCTTACCATGCGCTCCCGCTGTGAACGAAATGACTAGCATTTTCGTGTGCGGATATAAAGCTATTCGCACAATATTTGCGAAAGCTGAGAGAGGCAGAGGAAGGATGATGGGAGAGGAGAGGAGAGGAGAGGAGAAGAGAGGGAGGGAGAGACTGAGAGTGTGATTTGTCAGAAGCATTCAATGTTACGCCTTCCAACTAACGGGTAACCAATAACGGCGGCGTGCCCATGGCATCGCCGCTATACTGACCTAAGCCACACATACATCACGCATGACCTTTGACCATCACCTTGACCTGTATAAACACTCTTTGAGTCATGGTCCCGCTCGGACGCTGCCTCCTGCCGGGGGCCACTCTCCAGGACCACCATTCCAGGACTGCCCGCTCCCCGGGTCCCTGCTCCTGCACAAACGTACCATTTGTTGCGCTACTATCGACCTTCTCAAATAAGCACACCGATAATTTCCGTCAATCAAACCCCTGACAGACAGCTAATAGCGATGGGTTGTCTACAACACAAGCCTGACAGACAGAGAGTGTTAGAGAGAGAGAGTTGATTAGTTAGTTAGAGAGAGAGAGAGAGAGAGAGAGAGAGAGAGAGAGAGAGAGAGAGAGAGAGAGAGAGAGAGAGAGAGAGAGAGAGAGAGAGAGAGAGAGGAGAGGAGAGGAGAGGAAAGTAGAGTAGAGTAGAGTAGAGTAGAGTAGAGTAGAGAAGAGAGAGAGAGGAGAGGAGAGGAGAGGAGAGGAGAGGAGAGGAGAGGAGAGGAGAGGAGAGGAGAGGAGAGGAGAGGAGAGGAGGGGAGAGGAGAGGAGAGTAGAGTAGAGTAGAGTAGAGAGAGAGAGAGAGAGAGAGAGAGAGGAGAGAGAGAGAGAGAGAGAGAGAGAGAGAGAGAGAGAGAGAGAGAGAGAGAGAGAGAGAGAGAGAGAGAGAGAGAGAGAGAGAGAGAGAGAGAGAGAGGATAAGAGAGAGAGAGAGAGAGAGAGGATAAGAGAGAGAGAGAGAGAGAGAGGATAAGAGAGATAGAGAGAGAGAGGATAAGAGAGATAGAGAGAGGGAGGATAAGAGAGAGAGAGAGAGAGAGAGAGAGAGAGAGAGAGAGAGAGAGAGAGGAGAGG